AGTTTTTTTTTAGCTACTATCTTTAAAATTATTAAAAATTATATATATTTATAGAAATTTTCATTTATATAAGAGAATTTAATATATAATGTGTAATTCATACTATTTTTATTTATAAATTTTAAAAAACTATTAGGTAAAATAATAACAATGACACCTATCGAATTATCCAACTTTGACGTACATATACATTTGATTTAGAGAAATATTATTTTGCTAAGATTTTGGTATTATTTTCTGTTTTCCATAGAATTTCTATATTTCTTTTTTTCTTGAAGGTTTATGTGTTCAAATATTTAGTTTTTTTTATTGAAAGTCTTATTGATGTTGTGTACCACTGTATATATAATCTATGATTCATGTTGATTCACATTTAATTTTGTTAGGAAACTATAATGATCATGCAAAACTATTTTTTCCTTCTCCATCATGTCTTCCAAGAGTTTTAGGTTATAATTTTATTCAGTTTTCATTGTTTTAATTGTTAAATCGAGTTATTGTAGATTTTTTTTAAATTGATAATTGATAATGGTTATTTTTTATACATGTATTGTTAATTGTTAATTTTTTTATTTAACTTTTAAATTTTCAAACTATATTAACATTTTCTGATTTAATAAATATGTTGATTTGGATCAATCAGATTGAATTTACTTTTTTTGTTGGACATAATTTGTTAAATTAACTTTTGATGTTTTAATTATAATTAATATTTTTTGTTTGATTTAAAAGCTGATGTGGATCAATTAAATCAAGTTTTTCCGTCCTAATCATACTTACCATTTTTTATTTAATGAATATGCTGATGTGGACCAATCAGATCGAGTTTTTTAATCTCATGTGAACGCCCTCAATGCACTATGCCATCAATTTTTATATATTATACTAGATATATAACTCGCGCTACGCGCGAGTCTGTATTAATATTTTGGTTTATTTTTTTAGCTACTATCTTTAAAATTATTAATTATTTATATTTATAGAAATTTTCATTTATATAAGAGAATTTAATATATAATGTGTAATTTATCCTATTTTTATTTATAAATTTTAAAAAACTATTAGGTAAAATAATAACAATGATGCCTATCGAATTATCCAACTTTGACGTACATATACATTTGATTTAGAGAAGTATAATCTTGCTAAAATTTTGATATTATTTTTTGTTTTCCATAGAATTTCTATAGTTCTTTTTTTTTGAAGGTTTATGTGTTCAAATATTTAGTTTTTTTATTGAAAGTCTTATTGATGTTGTGTACCACTGTATATATAATTCATGATTCATGTTGATTAACATTTAATTTTGTTAAAAAGCTGTAATGATCATGCAAAACTATTTTTTCCTTCTCCATCATGTCTTCCAAGAGTTTTATGATATATTTTTATTCAGTTTTCATTGTTTTAATTGTTAAATTCGAGTTGTTGTAGATTTTTTTTAAATTGATAATTGATAATGGTTAATTTTTTTTATACATGTATTGTTAATTGTTAATTTTTTATTTAACTTTTAAATTTTTAAACCATATTAACATTTTCTGATTTAATAAATATGTTGATTTGCATCAATCAGATTGAATTTACTTTTTTTGTTGGATATAATTTGTTAAATTAACTTTTAATGTTTTAGTTATACTTAATAATTTTTTGTTTGATTTAAAAATTGATGTGGACTAATTAAATCAAGTTTTTCCGTCCTAATCATACTTAACATTTTTTATTTAATGAATTTGCTGATGTGGACCAATCATATAGAGTTTTTTAATCCCATGTAGACGCCCTCAATGCACTATGCCATCAACTTTTATATATTATACTAGGTATATAACTCACGCTACGCGCGAGTCTGTATTAATAGTTTGATTCAATTCTTTTTTAGCTTTAAAACAGTTTGGTTTCATATCTAAAAATACAATAGGAAATTAAAGCATGGTGAGGTAATGCATGTGAGCATACTTACCATGTCAAATAGTGAGTAGTTGCTTCAATATCTTTGTCAGAAAAAAAACTGGGAGGAAGAAACGGAGTTCAAAAATAATACTTCTACATGATGCAATTTAAAGTATGGTGTTAAGAGTTAAATAAGTCTAATTATCTAATTTAGTTTAGAATTCATCATATTTTCATAAATAGTAAAACAGTGGTAATTATATGTTTGAGATTACAAACTTTGAAATGTTTTTGGGTTCATAATTGTGGCCAGGAGCACGACATGTTTGACAACACTTTTTATTATTTTTCTTTGAAAATTGGCGGAAGAGTAACACGAACAATTAAACTACTGTTTAGAAAATATAAAAGGGTGATAAGTAAACATAGATTGTATTCCAATTTAGAATATAAAAATGAGTTGTTGGAAAAACATGTTTATCTTTTTAATTGCAAGTGAACATTTATTTTATTATCACTTTCACCATTGGCGATATCATTAGCTTAACTTGACAAAGAAAGTTCTCATCGTTGATGATGATCAGTTTTCTAATAACATATAGACATTATATGACGTTATTATTATATATTTGTATATGCGCAATGCATTATAAGTTATAAATTTTTCTAATCTATGCCATAAGTTTTAACTTTTACGATATTGTCATTTTGGTTAGTTTGACTATTTTACATTGAATTTCTATTTAATTTTAAGGGATACTATATTTTGGTTTTTTAATATAGTTTTCTTTTCTATTTGTTACTTAAGCTTTTTATTTATTTTTTCATCTATAAAACAAAATTAATATTTTTTATTTTTCTTGTCAATAGATTTAAAATTTAGAATTTTCCTAATCTATATTATAAATTTAAGCTTTTATGATATTGATTTTTTTGTTAGTTTATCTCTTTTGAAAACAAATATCAATTTTATTTCTTAGGATACTATTTTTTCAGGTTTGTTTAACATAATTTTATTTTCTATTTGTTACTTAAACCTTTTTATTTCAGGTTTTCTATTTATAAAATGAAATTAATGTTTTAAATTTTGACGGATGCTATATTTTGGATTTTTTAACATAATTTTCTTTCATATTTCTTACTTAAGCGTTTTTTATTTTGATTTTTACATCTATAAAATGAAATCAATGTTTTTATTTTCTTGTCAGTTAATTTAGAAGTTAGAATTTCTCTAATATATATTATAAGTTTGAACTTTTATGCTATTTTTTTGTTAATTTAACTCTTTTGAAAACAAATTTCTATTTTATTTTTAAGGATACTTTTTGGGTTTTTAACATAATTTTCTTTTTTATTTGCTACTTAACTTTTTTATTTAATTTTCTATTTTAAAAATAAAATGAAGGTTTTAGTCATACTTAACATTTTTTGTTTAATGAATATATTGATGTGTACCAATCAAATAGAGTTTTTTAATCACATGTGGACGTCCTCAATGCACTATGCCTTCAACTTTTATATATAACTAGGATCTAACCTGCGCGTCCGCGCAGGTAATATTTTTTTTTAAAATTTAATTTTAAAAATGTTGGTTTTATAAATATAATTTTAAAATGTAATTTTATTGTTATGCAATATTGTAATCAAAATAGTTAATCTACAAATAATACTAAAATGCTATAAAATACGATTAATTATCTTTTTGTTAATCGTATTCATATTTTTTAGTCAAAAAAATTATACAATAAAAGTGTGTTTGATTTTTAATAAGAAGATAATATATTAATATTTTTCTTCTTCTTTATCTTATCCGTTATTATTCTTTTGTTGTTGTTCTTCGTCTTTTTTTTTAATTTTTATTATTATTCTTCTTCTTTTTCACTTCTTCATCTTCTTTTATTTTTTTCTCTTTTTCTTTTAAGTTATTCTTGTATGTTATTCTTTTTCATTCTTTCTTTCTTCTTATTTTTAATGATTTTCTTTTCTGTTTTTTCTCTTTTTCCTTCTTTTTATTTTTCTTTATTATTTTTTTTCTTCCTCATTTTTCTTTTTATTTTTTTTCTGTAATTTTTCTTGTGCTTCTTCAATTTGTTTGTTTTTTATTTCGATTTTTTGATTTTTTGTTTTTCTCTTTTCTTCTCCTTTTTCATTTTTTTCTTCTTTTCTATTTTTTTAAAAAATTTAGCAAAACAAAATTGAAATGGAAGTTTTGTATATTAAATAATTAATACTATAAAAATAATTGTTGGCCTAACATATTTTAGAGTTTTTCGGTAAAATAAAATTTAGACTCTAAAAATATTATTTTTTAATTTTGTTTTGGTATTTTCTATATATATTTTTTATAAATTTCTAATTAAAAACAAAGAAAATAAGATAGTTTCAAATTTTTTTAAAAAAATGGACCTTTTAATAAGAAGTAAAACAAAATATTGGGTTCTTAATGAAAAAAGTAAAAAAAAATTAGGCCTTTGGTAATTTAATGAAAAGAATATATTTAATAAACTTTTATATAACTAATGAAAGTCCAATGATATATTAGGTAAATAACACATCAAGTAAATGTTAGTCTTCTAAATAGGATCCTCTTTTAATATAATAGATAGATGATTAAACGTGTATAATATTTTAAACATCATGCTGTTTTTGGAATCTGGCTCAAAATAATTTAAACATCATGTTGTTTTTAGTATTTGAAAATGCTGCGTTTTGATTTCCGTGACTGTCTTGACAAACGTTTAATAGTGCCACGTCACTCGACATATATAAGGGTTATTATATAGCAGATGATTATTAAGATTAACAGTGTATTTTTTTGAGGTGAAGGTTGTTCTTGCAAAATAAATTTAGTATGAGAACTTTTTTGCAGTTATCTCGATTGATTATTCTCAATTTGTGACATTTCAGCTATTGATTCGAATTATGCCCACCCGTAACAAATAGTGCATTCACAATGAATTTCAGCAAATTACCGAAAACACGCATTGGCTCTTGTTTTCTCTCGCTACAATTGTCTACCAAATCTACTATAATACTTTTTTGTTTCGTCTCAGTTGCATTTACCACACACGATGGAACTTAACAGCATCACAAAGGAATAACTAACAATCTTAACATTCAAAAGTTTAAATCTCATCATTTAGAACAAAACAAGTTCAAATATAATACAGCTGATTATGCTAAAACAATAAAACGATGTTGACAAAAGGTAAAAAACAAGATATTTTGAACATTTTTACGAACTTCGACAAGAGACGAAGTACTAAATGAGAGATAACAACGACAAAAAATAAGATAAAAAATTAACCAATCCCTCTCTAAGCACCTCATAGTTTTGCTCTGCTCCAATACCTCATAAATCTGGTGAACAGAACAATCATTAACTTGCAGTGGTTCACCCTCTCTCTCTCTTTATCTCTCTCTTATCTCTCTCACTTATCTCTCTATCCTATGAATACGCATTTTTCACAAGCATAGTCAGAGAAAAGAGAAAAACCCAAAAACTCAAAACCATGACTTCCAACAGAAGCAACATCTTGAATCATTTCATCTTCCATCTTCTTCTTATTCTTCTCCCTACACTACTCCAAGCTCTTAACACAGACGGTGTTACTTTACTCTCTTTCAAATATTCCATCATCGGTGATCCTCTCTCTGTTCTACGCAACTGGAACTACGACGATGAAACACCATGTTCCTGGACAGGTGTCACCTGTACAGAGCTTGGTAATCCAAACACTCAAGACATGTTTAGAGTCACCAGCTTGGTTCTTCCAAACAAAGAGCTTCTGGGTTCTGTTTCTCCAAGCTTGTTTTTAATCCCAAATCTAAGTATCTTAGATCTCTCCAACAATTTCTTCCATGGGTCACTGCCGGATTCAGTCTCCAACGCTTCTCAGCTTCGTCTTCTCTCCCTCGGAAACAACAACGTTTCCGGTGAACTGCCTCATCGTATCAGCAACGTGGCTAGTCTCCAGCTCTTGAATCTTTCCGCGAACGCATTCACCGGAAAAATCCCTCCCAATCTCTCACTTGTCAAGAACCTGACGGTTCTTGATCTTTCCGCAAATCTCCTAGACGGATCCTTTCCTCCAGATTTCGAAGGAACAAGTCTCCATTACCTCAACTTATCACACAACCAAATATCCGGCGGGATTTCTCCATCCTTCGCCGAGACAGTTTCAGCAAGCGCCATTATCGATCTCTCCTTCAATAACCTCACAGGATCAATCCCTAGTACACCACCAATGCTTAACCAAAAGACCGAGTCTTTTTCCGGTAACCTAGCATTGTGTGGTCTGCCATTGAAGACCCTTTGTTCAATCCCTTCTACTCTTTCAGACCCACAAAACAATTCTGAGACTAGTTCACCGGCGATAGCAGTCATGCCCGGAACATCACCTCCAACAAAGCCTTCACAAGAATCACCAAACCAAACAACCAAGAGCAAACTAAAGCTAAGCACCGTCGTCGGAATCACAGTCGCAGATATAGCTGGCTTAGCTATCATAGGCATGTTTATCCTCTACATGTACCAGCTCAAGAAACGCAGAAGCTATCAAGAGTACAGTACTTTCAAAGTCTTGAAAGATTGTCTTGAAAAAAACGATACTTTATCCGTAAAGAAACCGAAACAGAGCCTATTCATCTCAGAGAACATGAAAACAGGATGGGGCTCGTGCGTAATCGGACGGTACGACGAGACATCGGAAGCTAATAGCTCCGAGAGTGACATAGAGAACCAGATTCAAGACAAGAAGACCATTGAGGCATTTGATCGAACAGAAGGTGCGCGAGTGAAACAGAGCAATGAAACTCAGCTAGTGACCGTCGACGGAGAGACTCATCTGGAGCTGGAAACTCTACTAAAGGCATCGGCTTATGTACTTGGAACAAGCGGAAGCGGGATCGTGTATAAAGCGGTGTTAGAGAGCGGCGAGGCTTTTGCGGTGCGGCGGATCGGAGCGGAGAGTTGTACGGCAGCGAAATTGAAGGAATTCGAGCGGGAGGTTCAGGTAATCGCTAAACTTCGGCACCCGAATCTCGTTAGGGTTCGTGGATTCGTTTGGGGGAAAGAAGAGAAGCTTCTAATCTCCGACTATGTTCCAAATGGAAACCTGCATTGCTCTTCCATCTACGGTAAGTTTCTATATACGGCGTATGTTATTGTTACTGCATATTTTGATACGGTTAGCTTTTTATTTAAACAGCTCATTTAGGCATGTGCGTTTCGGATCTTTTACACTTTGGAATAAATGGACCTTTATAACTCACTGATATCAAACCCAATTTAATTTTTTTGATATATGAGTATGAATCATGATCATTAACATTACTTTTATTTGATATGAAAGCAGCAAAACCAGGTTCGTCTTCTGCATCTTCACAAAACTCTTTCTCTTTTGAGGCACGGCTCAAGATAGCAAGAGGGATAGCTCGAGGAATTGCTTACATCCACAAGAAGAAGCACGTGCACGGCAACATCAACCCCAAGAACATTCTCTTGGACTCCGAGTTTGATCCCATTATAACAGATATGGGCCTCCACCGCATAATAACTGGCCCAACGTCGAGCTCGCAGAACAATCCACCAGAATGGTCTACAAACCAGAAACCAAACCCCAATTGGGACGTCTATTCCTTTGGTGTCATACTCCTAGAGCTTCTCACAGGCCGAGTTTTCTTGGTCGATCAAGATTTGGTTCGTGACTCCAAGGCTGATGAGAAAAGTTGGTTCTTAAGGTTGGTCGATGGGACAATTATGGCTGATGTGGCTCACTGCGAGGATGAGGCATTCGCATGCTTTAAGTTAGGTTATGGTTGTGTATCTTCCTTGCCTCAGAAGCGACCGTCCATTAAGGAAGTGGTGCAAGTGCTAGAGAAAATGTTTTAGGTGTTTATCAATTTAGACTAGTTTGTTATTTTCCTTTTATAGAAATTAGAAAGCATAAGTTAGTTTGTTGCAATGCAAAATGATTACTTTGGTTTGGATTTGTTGATTACTATTTTCTTCCGATAAAAGTGTCCTGCTTCTGCTTGGTTGCTTACTGTTTATTATAAGATTTTGTTCTAACTCTTTTCTGTCGAAGAACAACCAAACTATATATTTTCATATGGTCGACCAAACAATGGTATCGTTCGTACTCACAACATTCATTTTGGAAAGATAAAACAATCAATATACAAGTGTATTTCATTATTTACTAGGCCAATATGTGGATTTTGTTTCACATATATTTTTTATATGATATTGTTAAGCCCATTTTTCTCATCACCAAATCTCGGATGATATGTTGTTATTGGACCCTGTCCGAGTGCTGACTTTTCTATCTAGACATGCTAACGATTTTCTAGTAGACTATTTCCGGGCATGTAGCAGGCCTACCAAGCTAAGCGTACTATACTGTCTCACTTTCCCCCGCCTGTAACATCTTTGATCCGGCCTAAAGTCAGACTTGAGATAATCAGATGCACAACAACCAAACAAGAACATGCACGGCAATCTACTCAACCCCAAAGCAAACCAAAGATGGTGCAATGTGTACCCAAACGCCCAGTCCATGGATTTCAGAACAAATCCATATTCTCTAGACCAAACATCCGAGCAAACTTACCTATTGAACATGACTCAAGGTTTTTTAACTCGGGGCACATCCAATAGTTAGTTCGTCCTGGACAAGGACTGGTACCACATGGAAGCTCAAGTATTTTCACAAACATATCTTATTCATATAATACTTAGGTTCCAAGTGTAACCACAAACTATATATATATATATATATCCGGCCAGGAGCTCAGCGTCCAAAACGTTATTATACATAATAAACACATATTTGTTCTTACAAAAAGCAGCAAAATAACCAGGTTATCCTAGGCTCCCTCAGCCTGTATGGTTTACCACTATTGATTATCTGCAAAACAATTTGAGTCGTGAGCAACTACTTTTCTCAATGAGTTCGGATCCCACTATACGAATAATCTATCCCCAAGAGCCCCAAAATGGCAAGTAGCACACAATCACACAATCATAATATCATCAATTCAACATAAGATGTACTATATGCATATATACTATAAGATGTATAGTCATATTCAATTATACTTTATTTATCTCGCCATGGTATTTCTGCACATATGACATCACCCATCCACATCCAGTCACATATTGCCCATTCTGACCAAAGCCACGAAGGCTAAATGGCCAGAATGTCCTGACTCACAACCGCATCGTCATGCATTGCAGGGCCCCAGGCTGCAATCCTGTACATTTGTGCCTTTGTAACTTGCCTATCACAAGCCAAGCCAATGTTCCCCGATGGGATGTCAAATGGCCTCATAGATTCTCATATTCAATTCATGCATAAACAATAACCTGCTCGAACCTGCTAGATCTGGAAACATGCATATACTATCATAACCTCAGTGACATAAGTATGTACTAATACACATTCCACATGATAAGCAATCAAGCAAAGTAAATACTCAAACTTACTTTGCACTAAAACAACAATAAACCTATACCAAGACTCACCTTGGCTTTCTGAAAGACTGGTAAAAAAAACTAAGATTTCTGGCAGCAATTTGGCCTGCTACTTAAGACTTTAGGTTTAAAGAAATAGGTCCATAATCAGGAGAAAAAGAGGTTAGAAATGGAACTTGGAGAAAAAACTAAGCTAGAGAAAACAGCTTACCTTAACTTGGTTTGTGTGCATGCTCAATCAGCACGTGTACCCCATGTTGCACCATGCAGTTCAGGAGATGTCCTCCTCCGTGTGATGCTCGATGCAACTTCTGCTGGCCGGACTTATACTCCAGTACACCAGAAAAAGTTGGGACGCCAGATGACTTCATAACGTGGATGGATAAAAGTGCCCTCCACGGTGTATGATGTGTCCCTTCATGGTATGATTACCCTCGTGGAGATTCATCTGCGTACGGCAGGTTCTCCATGATGCAATCGCCTTTGTGCTGGTCCACTGGTGTACGGTGCGTCTCTACTCGGTGTAATCGCCATATTGGAGAGTCTTCGGTGTACGACATGTCTCTCCACGGTGCAATTACCTTCGCGTCAGTCTGTCGGTGGATGGCATGGCTTCCCTCGATGCGTTTACACCGAGCATAATGATGATCACCCTCCACAGTATGCCTTCCATGGTGTAGAACAAAGTTTCTGCCTTAGCTATGTTTAACCCCTTTGGGTTAATCAACTGAACTTTTTTCAAACTGAAATACTAAATAAAACATATCAATAGAAAAAGCAATTCATATTTTCAAGGACAGTCATGAGAATACCTCACAAGTGTGTTTGTTTAAAGTCATTAAGCTTGACTTTGCTTGGTTTAAAGATCAATGAGGAGCATGAAAGTTAAATGCATTCCCTTCTCCTCTCTTAACAGACAAGTGATTGGTTCCAGACTAAGCCTTCTTTCTTCCCTTTCTGAACTTCTTCTTGCCCTTAGGATCTTCATCATCAACCTCCATACTTGGACCTTCAAACATCATCAAGAGGCTTTCCCCATCAAAGCTTTCTCCTTAGTACTCAATGTGGTCTAGTGGGCTGGCTTCTTTCAGAACCTTGACATTGAAGCTCATGGCCTGCTCAACCTTCTCAGTGACCTCCTTGACACTTAGCTCCCCACTTGAAATTATCCCACAAAAGTTTTAGTAAAGGGGCTTGATTGCATATCCCACATCTTCATTGACATTCCTAAGCACCACCCTCTTCTTGTTGAAATTAATTTCCGCACCAGTTGTGTTCAAGAATGACATCCCAAGTAGCAAAAGGAGATCTTTAGACTGCCCCATGTCCATCACTATAAAATATGTTGAGATTGTGCAATTCCCAATCTTCAAGGGATAGTCTTCAAAGAACCACATGGGTTGCCTTGTTGATGAATCTACAAATGAGATTGTAGACCCATAATCCTTCAGCTTGGTGATTTCTAACTTCTTCGTCATCTCCAATGACACCACATTGACACTTGAACCTGAATCACACAATGCTTTCATCTTGTCCAAACTTCCAAGCTCACAAGCAACAACAAACTTTCCTGGATTCTTTAGATTTTGGAGAACCCTTGGCTCATCTTTTGGCTTGTTAGAACCATCAAGAGAGTTCACTAGAGTCTCTACCTTGTGTGCATTTTCAAGAATGTTTTTGATGAATTTTAGCTGGTCCGTGACTTGCATCATTGTATCTAGAGGGGGTAAGGGAATACCGGCTTCATACATTTCGTTTCTAAACTTGGAGAGAGTAGCTTTTTGAGCTTTAGTGAGAATCCTCCCAAGAAAAGGAAGTGGAGATTTATACTTAAGCAAATCCTTCAATGGTGCTTCTTTTTCTTGGGCTAGAGGCTTCTCATAAACCTTCTTAGATTCAACTTGTGTTTGTTGAGGTGTCTCCTTAGCAAGTTCTTTCAAAACATGGAAAACCTCAGTCAACTTATCATCTTGTTTCTCTACCACTTCAGCTTCATTAACCTTATCATCTTCAGCAATACTCAAGAGAAACTCTTCAATGACATTGTTCTCTTCTTCAGTATCAACACTCAAGATAGAGACGTCCCCCTTCCCTCCCTACACATAGTTAGACTCAATATTCTCATTGGTGATTGTATTGCAATAATCCTTTGGATTTGCTTCACTTTTTCCAGGAAGTTGCATTGGCTATTTGGAGGTAGAATCACCTTTGCTCTCAAAGAATTTCAGTCTTTGATTCATGGCATCTGTCTTGGAGTTCAAATCACAAGTATCTTGTTGTGTACCTCAGCGAACCTCTGTGAAGCTCCATGGTAGCAGTAGCTTGGCCATTAATCAAATTCTGAACCATTTGCTTGATTTCTGCATCATGGTTGATTGAAGAGCCTTGTTCACTGCCAAAACCAGGTGGATATTGCTTTAGTTGGTAGTCTCCTTGGTTTTTCTGAAATGGCAGTTTAGGGACAAAGCCTTGCTGTTGGTTGTAAGGGACAAAAGGCTTGTTCACTTGTCCTTGTTGAGCTCCTTGGGAAGGGTATACTTGGTCTTGTGGGTTGGCCACATTAGTGATTTTATAGGAGAAGTTGGGATGATTTCTGTAGTTGTTGAAGCCACCACCACCTTGTTGAGTTATATACAAGGCTTCTTCTTGAAGATCAGGTTCTTCCTCTTGGACTTGACCAGCTACCCACAAAGTTAACAACCTTGAATAAAGAGCTTAAAAGCTTGCCAAGCTTCTCATGTAAAGCCTTTATCTCCTTCTTGGTGGCGCTATCTCCTTCACTTGTAGTCCTATCATAATCTTCATTGTAGTTCCCATCTGAAAGAGCAAGGTTCTCCACCAACTCAAGTCCTTCTTCAACATCTTTACCCAAGAAATTTTCATTGCTTGCAGTATCAAAGAGCATTCTGAACTTAGGAAGAACTCTTCGATAGAGAGTGCTTAGAAGAATCTCATTGCTGAAACCAGGGTGAGGACACTGAAGTGTGTAACTCTTGAAGCGCTCCCAAGCCTCACAAAAGGTCTCATTACTATGCTGAGAGAAGCTTGAGATGTTCTTCTTAAGCTTTGCTGTCCTTGTGTTTGAGAAAATGTTTTCCAAGAAGGCCTTCTTACAATCATTCCATGAACTAATGGACCCTTGAGGAAGAGTTTTCTCCCATTGATGATATTTGTCTCCAAGGCTAAAAGGAAAGTGCCTGAGCTTTAGACCATCTTCACTCACTCCTTGGATCTTAGTCATTGCACAAATCTTATCAAACTGGTTCAAATGGTCTAGAGGGTCTTCCATTGGCAGCCCATAGAACCTATCAGATGGCACCATGTTGATGAGTACCAATTTAATCTCAAAGTGGTTTTGATAAACTGGAGGGACAACGATTCCATTCCTGTTGATGTGGGTGTTAGGAGCATCACCAGCTCCTGTTTGACTTGGAGCTCTTACGCCATGTAAAGGAGCTCTCTCAAGATGAGGCTTTTGGACGTCTTGTGCAACTCAAGGAGCTTGTGCTGGTGATCCTTGAGGTCCCTGATCATGTGGATGAACCTGATCAGCCATAGTCAACTCTTTTTGAAGCTGAACACGTTTCTTTTGTC